GCCGTCTGGAAATCAAACAAATTAACAGACTACTAAGTGGTCACGGAATAGACAAAGTTTCGCTTACTAGAATGAAAGTAATAAATAACAATTTATGTTATTCCTGCAACCTACCAGAAGACAGTTCACATATAATTTTTATATGTCCCTCTTAAGCCTAGTACTCAGATCGAAAAACTGTTTGCCAGCAAACGAATGTCATATATTCTTCGAGCAGCCAGTGTGACCAGAGGTGTGCACTGCATTCCGAACGGTTACTCTGCTCAGACAGCTGCTTAGTTTTGTTTAAAGTTAATAAAATGCACTTCTTCGGCTGGGGCCGCTCTTCCCCAGCCATATCCTGGGCTCCCCAATATTTTATTGGCAAGGTAATGTGTCTGACTATCAGCAGCAGCAGATGGCGACGCCTCCCGTGCCGGACACAGTGAAGAAAAAATGTTGTGAAAGCAATATATGTTTTATATTTATGAAAATTAATAAAAATAATAAATTATAATATCCATATAATTGTCATTCATATAATACTGCATTAGCTAGATTCTATTTTTCTTCATTATTAAAATATTTCATTTGGTTTTTTGTTCTCTTATTGCAATGTTTGCTTCGTGTTTGCTGGCAAAAGATATCAAACTGATATCTTTTTCGAGGTTGGTCGAAACAGACAAAAGAAACGAGAAGGGACGTGTGAGTCGCTTCTGGGGACGCGTTACACTTGTAGCAGTGTGATATCACATGAGCCTGGAAACCAAATTTGGTTGCCCTAGCTTTTATAGTCTCTGAGATCTAGGCGCTCAACAAGACGGACTGACGGATGGACGGACGGACAGACGGACATGTCTATATCGACTCGGCTATTGATGCTGCTCAAGAATATATATACTTTATGGGGTCGGAAAGGTTTCCTTCTCTGCGTTGCACACATCCAATTTTACCACAAATCTAATATACCCCTTAACTCTTTTTTGAGTACTGGTATAACAAGCAAATACTTCTGATACTTTTCCAGTATATACCGACCTTTTTTTGTTGATCTGAGTACTTCCTTCCGTACAGAGCCTAGAAAACAGTTTTTGCCGTAAAAAATTTCTTATCGGTTTCAAACGAATATCAACCCTGATTCTGTTTGCTAGGTGTTTTTTTCGATCTGAGTACTAGGCTTTATAGCCTTTTCACACTGGGGACCATCCACCATCCATTTCTGGGATGGTCCGTAAGGATTTGCCGTTCCGAAAATTTCCCAGTTATTCCACCATCCATCTGGGATGTTCCTAATTCTCACGTTTCAGTGCGGTATTTTTTCGATAATTGTCAAATGCAACCATATTTCACAACAAAAAATCGGAGATCACTACGAAAATGTAAACAATGACAGACAGGAAAATATAAAAATAAAACAAAATAGCCCCGTCCGATCTCACAAAGCACGCAAAAAATAAAAAAATATCAAATATCAGCTGCAGGTGATTTTATTTCGATGTGACATCCATCTAACATAAAAATTAAGTGATAAAATTAATTTACATATATGTATATACATATATTATGGATGATTTTATTGCATTATTACCAATTGCACCAGGCACTGAGGAAACCCAATTTCTTCAAATGCTTGGACACACTCGTCAATTTTCTCTGAAGTGAGATAGTTTTTGGACATGTATTCCTCTGAGAATTCGTTGATGAATGCTCTGCAAAACTCATGCAGGATATTGCAGACGCTGTTGGCTGACACTCCGAAAAACACCATTCTCAGAATAAGATCCCAAAGTATATAAAGATATGGCGATACGCTTCTCCAGAGGAATTGCAGCTCGGCAGTTTGTGTCCTTCTTCCGTAGCACTTCCAAGCGAGTTACTAACAGAGAAAAGCAGGATCTCTCCATCCTAAAACTTTCCTTAAAAAACGCCTCGTTGTTTTCGGGTACATCCTTCTCCCAAAATGTACCGAACCGCTTCTGAAAAACATAACATATATATTTGTACTTTAAACATTGGTTGCATTTATTAGAAGCACTCACAAATGACCACAACCTTCCGGGCTTCAGTGTTTTCAAAACAGATATCCATTCTATTATCTCCTCCTCGTCAAAGTTATCCTCATCATCATCGTCCATGTCCAACAACATGAATTAGCTTGTGCAAGAATATGTTTTGCTGCTGAATCACATTCACGACCATTGAAATGTTATTTATATTCATTTTAATTAAAGTAAACAAATTTTCACCGCACGCAATTGTGAGCAACAGCTGCTTCTCATGGATGGTGGATGGTGGATGGTGTCAATGTGAATCGGTGTTTCACATCTTTCAAAAATTCCCACCGTTCCCCCAGGATGGACTCAGTGTGCAGAGAGTATTACCACTAACCATACAGTATATAGATGTGCCAGTTCATACAATGAAAGGGGCGCAGCTGAGGTTTCTGTCCCAGCACCCCCAGGTCTTCGGCTAGGGTGCTGGGACCATTCGGCTGTGGTGCTGAGACGCGGGGCCTGAGACGTTCGGCATTTTTTTCGACATGTTCGATTCATGACGAGATGCGAAAGCAAGCTGAGAATTGCAAATGTATGTGTGTAAACAGACACGACAATATTTTGTATCAATTCTTATTTTCCGAAACAGTTTTGAGTTTGTTTTGAGTTTCGTTTCCAGGTTACGTAGATGTGTGTGTGCCATGTATTCACACATACTGTGCTTGTGTGTGGGCTCTACAATTGTTGGCCGCTTGAATTGGTTTTTCGTTTTGTTTTGAGGGCTGATGTTATGTAGCGACCTATTCCCTGAACCCTCAACCGGGCCCTGGGCAACCATCAATCTGGGGCCCTCCTTTATTTTGTATTTTTCTCAGTGGCTATTCTATTTTGTATTCATTATTTGGAGTTGTGTTGCCATTATATTTTGTATTCATTATTTGGAGTTTTGTTTTTTCAACAAAATTTTTCTGTTATTTCTAGGAGGGCCCTAGGCAACTGCTAATCCGGCCCTGGACCTATTCCCGTCGTAAGACTTCATATTTTCTTGGTGTGTTCTGTCGCTCGACTCGACGCGGGTTGAGGCATTGACGAAGCCGTTCATAAAATATTTTTTCGTTTTGTTTTGAAAAGCTGTTGTTGCGACGGGCGCGTGGTGTATTTCTTCCATTCTCCTTTCGGCTTGCCTTTGCCTCTGCTTTCGGCTTCGTCAATGCCTCGACCCGACCCGCGTCGAGTCGAGCGACAGAACACACCAAGAAAATATGAAGTCTTACGACGGGGAACAGGTCCAGGCCGGATTAGCGTTGCCTAGGGCCCTCCTAGAAATAACAGAAAAATGTTGTTGAAAAAACAAAACTCCAAAAAATGAATAAAAAATATAATAGCCACTGATAAAAATACAAATTAATAAAGCAAACATTAAATTTATAAGTTTTTATTTCAAATGAAAAAAGAAGGAACTGGCGTGAAAAAATGGAGGGCCCCAGATTGATGGTTGCCCAGGGCCCAGTTGAGGGTTGATGCGGCCCTGAATAGGTCGCTACATAACATCAGCCCTCAAAACAAAACGAAAAACCAATTCAAGCGGCCAACAATTGTAGAGCCCACACACAAGCACAGTATGTGTGAATACATGGCACACACACATCTACGTAACCTGGAAACGAAACTCAAAACAAACTCAAAACTGTTTCGGAAAATAAGAATTGATACAAAATATTGTCGTGTCTGTTTACACACATACATTTGCAATTCTCAGCTTGCTTTGGCATCTCGTCATGAATCGAACATGTCGAAAAAATGCCGAACGTCTCAGGCCCACGACCCGAACGTCTCAGCACCACAGCCGAATGGTCCCAGCACCCTAGCCGAAGACCTGGGGGTGCTGGGACAGAAACCTCAGCTGCGCCCCTTTCATTGTATGAACTGGCACATCTATATACTGTATGGTTAGTGGTATTACTCTCAAGAAAGAAATTGTTTTCCAGTATTTAAATCCTATACTGATATATATCGTTTCTTTGAAAAAGAACCTATCGCATCTTAAAAATACATTGTTGAATTCATACGCATCGCAAATATCGAAGTGTAAATCAAGCACGCTAAAGCCTAGTACTCAGACGCGCTAAATTTTCAGTCGACCGGAAGTGCTATATATTCCGCTCGGTTCCTAGTGTGACCTAAGTTGGCAAAATGTATGCTCTACGGTTACACTGGTTGGTGTTTGTTTACAAACAGAAATCTGTTTGAATTTCAAATGTTTTGCTAAAGTAAGCAGAAATGTCTTATTTGTGGGCGCTGTGGAGCTGGAGGGCGATAATGCACACGGCACTATTGAATAAATCCGATCCTGCAGGAAAGATATGCAATCAACATGGTTTTAATCTTCTTTTTAAAGATTAAAATGAGTAAAATTAATAAATAATAATATCCATATAATCGGTATTCATTCCCTAATTAAATTTAATTTATCTTCATTATTGCACTTTTTTAGCTGGCTTGCACTTGTTTCCATCCATATTTAAATTGTGTGTGTTGTGTGTGTTTTTGTGTCATGTCATTAGACGACGGAAGATGAAAATTTTCAATGTTCCGATCGAGATGGGAAAATACCATCGGTTGCTTTTCTAGTATGTATCGAATGGATTTTTCTCGGAACTGAGTACCGGTCTGCGAAACGCCTGCTACGAAATTTTCGGTCGGCCAAAAAACAGGGATGATTTCTTATCGGTTTCATACGAATATCATCCCTGATTTCGGTCGACGGAAAATTTAGCGCGTCTGAGTACTAGGCTTAACCATTTACTAACTTAAACGTCATTGCATGAGTATCATACATACACTTCCAGTCATCATATTTAAAAGTTAAAATAATTAATCAAGTCTTTCAAGAAAAAAATCAGGATGTGGCGTTAACCCGTATCAGACGTGGAGGCCAAATAATTCCTTCAACTAATCACGGTTGAAAGTAACTTAATATAAAAAAAAAAAAAATTCTTAATAAAAAGTTTAAAATTATAATTTTAGGATACTTCCGGAAAAGATGGAAATTATTGCAGGATGACGAGTCCCCATACAATGACTAGCTTAGGACGAACAATTCGACAATCAAATTCTCCGAGCTCTATTAACCTTCCCATGGTGAATTCAGCAAACTTGTGCACAATAAAGAAAAGAAGTATGGATAAAACAGCGTTTTCAATAAATGGTGGTATGTACTAATCTGAAAGTGTTATACATATTTATTAAGTGGTTATATCAATATGTTATTGAGTAACAACAGGATAGTTTAAAAGGGAATCCAACTGGTTTTCTTAATAAACGTATCAGTACGTGTTTCAAAAGAGTTAATAAGGCTCAATGGGACCTTTTTTTTTACACTGTTCGGTCATGTTCCCGAGCAGTGGCTTTTTCCACTTCTTGTCTAATAGTCGGTTTGAATGTTGCTGGACCTGCTAAACAGTAATATGCTGTGGGAGACTTAGCGGAAGTTACTATGGTTTGTGGGAGCAGTGGAGAAGAAATAACTCGGGTATTGGTCCAGTGACTTAGAAACGGGTTCAATGGCTCTTCAAAAAAAAACTGAGGCCATAACTTAAGATAGATACTTTACCTTTTATTATGATATCTATATGAAGAGTTTAGGAACATGACTATATATATGACTGATACATACAATAACTAAAGTAAATCGAATCGTTTATGTATGAATGTCATCCTGCCCACGACTAACTAAGGTTGGAAGGTTGATTAAAAGCAATCTACGAGGGTAAGATGGCAGTCTCACACCTGCATCCCAGTTAAGGCCACGTAGAGCAAAAAGTTTTTCTGGACTGATTCTATACGGTCCTGGTGCACTTTGTACTGCGGGCACCATACACAAGAGCCGTCTCTAAAATCGGAAAAACAAGCGAGATATAGAGAGTTTTGTTATATAGGGATCGTCCAACTCCTTTGACCACTGTGAAGGAGTAGGCTCCCACACAACAACAGGGCAGAGAACACCGTCCTATCGCTAGGGCGGCGACGCCCCTACGGGCCCATCGGGGCGAGACAGAGCATACCGATATGCGATACATTTGTTATTCTTTAATTTCTATTTTCTTTATCCTTTAATACCAAGGCTGAAGCCTACTATTTGCCAACCTATTATCTTTTCCCTTGTCTAAGCATTATTATCCATTGTTACCTTTTTTTTTATAGATGTAAGCATTTAACGGAAATATAATTAATAAGTAAGCTAAACTAGGCATTGGTTAGTGGGAACGATGACCACTGGGGGAGAAGTCAGGTACCATCACTAAGAACCAACATAGGAACCAGCCCGGGAACCAGCACCGGAACCAGCCCTGAGGAACCAGCGCCGGGGAACCAACAGAACCACCAGAACCAAGAACCCGGAAGAGAACCAACACCAAGCAAACGGAAAGGGAAAATACGCTTAAGCAAAGAGAGCGAGAGTCGGACCTAAGCAAAGAGAGCGAAAGGCAGACCTAAGCGAAGAGAATGGAGCTGGCCGTCGAGAGAGAGAGAGCCATAGTCTAGCATAGGTGGCACGCGTCAGAAATGAGCGGCAGAGCGGCAGAGCCAACGACGCAGATGTCGTGTACGTGCTCAAAGCACAAAGCCGAAAAACACTCCCAAGCTAGCCCACAGCAGCCGAGAGAGGAGCAGCGCAGCCCGAGAGAAAATACAAGAGAGAATCGCCGATCGGATCATCGTTCGGCAGCTAAGCTACAAAGTGGCGATGGTCCGGGCAGAATTATCGGCAGAGGCTGGATCAAGCGGCTTGGCACGCGACAAAAAAGATGCGAAAACGAGCGATCGAGATCTACAGCAATGCGGAAGGAACGCAACACCAGGCCAGGAAGAGGACGGGTAAGCCATCTCTCTTGTGTGGGTCTGTAGGGAGTAGAAGAGACGGTGCGATAGGTAGGGACCCACCAAAAGGAAAATAAAAGATTATATGCAAAACTCCCTGACTGTTATATAGGCTGACGGTGGGTGGGGGCAGAAAAGGCCCTCAAACCTCTAACTTCTCCTACTCCTTGAACTCTCCTTGGGGAGACGGGCCACATGATCGGTACGCGGTCAAGCACGTTGACTGTCCAGTCCTCCCTCTTTTCGTAGAGATTTCCAAGTAGAAAACCTTGCCTTTCCTTTCCAGGGATACCATAGAAGCACCCAAGAATAAGGAGCCGAGAAACAACACACTCAAAAACCATAGACAGCATAAATCAGCAACATATATTTTTTTCGACCCTCCGACTCATGTACAGCTGAGGCTGGTTTCGTTAGCCCCTAGCAGCAGCGCGCCAAGAAAATTGGCAACTGCGCAATCACGTTTCGCGGTCGACCACAGCAGCAGCGACGCCCAGGAATCCATTGGCGCACATGCAAGAAAGAGATAGCAAGTGACGCCGAGAACTTTGGCAACGGCGCGACCACGCTGTCGCAGCATCGCAACGCTCAAATCGCGCGACGAGAAAATCGGCAACAGCGCATCGACGCCCCAGAGGGGCAGCAGCGACAAAATTACACGGAAAAACTACAATTCAAGTCAGCGCCCAAGCCCAGGAGGGGAGAATGGAGGTCTAGCCTTTGACCGGGACAGTGAACAAAATAAAGCTCAAACTTTCAACTGAAACTTTTCAGCCAAACACTCTGATCATAAGTGTGAAATACAAATACAAATAAGTCCTTAGTGCCAAACCAAGCATCCTTTCCCGCCTTGTACTGCGCCGTGCCACTCTCGTTGACACCAACCGTTTGGTAACGCACCGCGTCTCCTGCCAAGGAGCACCGATTCCTAGCCCAGTGCCGTGCCGTGCAAGACTTCCAATCACTGACGGAACTAACTCAGCTCATCTCTGCATACGAGACCGCTAGGGACCGCGGTTTATCACGCACCTGCGTATCTGCGCCGACGTACCTACAGAGGGACTCGTACGTAGCCCAAGGGGCCGCAAACCAACGAGGTGCCACCCACGAGGCGTCTGGAAAGTCAGAGGCCGCCCATCAAGGGAAGTGTCAGGATGAAGAAGACCAGTCGACGTGCGACGCGCCTGCCGGAAGTGCGGAGAAGATGCCCATTTTTGCAACGATTGCAACAATCAGCAGAAGCTATTTTGTTGGGAGTGCGGCCGCCGAGGAGTTCGGGCCATCAATTGCTGCCGACAGCCCGAGTGGGGAAACGAGTCGGGTCTCCGCCCCACTGGGACACGGGCGGAGACGCACACCCAATATCAACGGATGGGGTTGCTCAGCCACTCTCGACACAGGCGCCACCCGGTCTTTCATTAGCCGGCGGATAGCGGAAGAGATAGGAACGGCAGAAAATCAATAAGCAGTGAGACCCACTATCCGCCTAGCCGACCACTTAAGGAAGAAGATCACCCAAGCGGTAGCAGCGACTGTGCGCCTCGACCAGCAGGAAACATAGGTATCCCTCTTAGTATTACCCACAGTACTGGACGACATCATTCTGGAGCTCGACTTTTTGTGTGGTGTCCGTGCGAGAATAATTCGTTTTTTTTTTGGTTTTTAAAGTTATTTTATTTATTCTAGTCCATATTTATGTATGTACCAACTTAAATGATTTAGGTAAATGGCTGGGCGAGCCCTTCATGTTTGGTAGGGCATGAAGAATTGCTTCACACATGCGGAAGCGCCGCCTAGCTAATCCGCTCCCTTCTCTCTCGCTCAACAGCAGTTCTGACATGATGGTCGCTGCGAAGTTGCTAGTCGCTTCCCAGTGCTCCGGACACTGGAGCATGAACGGCACCAGATTCCGGGTAGTAAGGGCACCACCCAGGGCGACTTCCAGCAGATGCCTTTGCTTGCCAAATCTTCCACCCGAGAAGATGACATGTGCGGAGTCTTCCTCCACTCCTTTTCCGCACCATGAGCACTCCGCAGACTGGTCGTGGCCACCACTGAGGAGCTGGGTCAGGTGGAAGTGGACTTGCCCGTGTTTCCTTGCTAGCCACCGCTCGATGGTCGGGATATACCAGCTTATCCGTCCACCGTCGCTTGGTGGTATCTAATCGGTTTTGCCAATTTTCAAAGGTCTGCTGCTTGCACGCCGTGCGCACCATTTTCTTCGCCGCCTCTGCGATGCCCCTGCCATGGGTCTCCATGAAGTAGGTGGACCGTTCGTCCGCCAGGTACTCGAGGGGTGCCACTCCAGCGATGACATGGGCTGCCTCAGCGGAGACCGTTCGGAAGGCACATATGATCCGTAGCGAGGAGAGACAGTGCGTGGCTACCAACCCCCTGGCGTAGCTCGACGTTTTAAGGGCATTGGCTCTGGCGCCGCATAGACCATCACCGATCTCGTAACACTCTTCAGCAGGAATCTACGACAATGTTTTGGTCCACGCCATGCTCAGCATTATCCTTGAGAGGGCAGCATAGCTGGAGAATCGAGCTGCCCTTCCAAGAACACACCAGAAGTCACGGCGCCGCTGTGTCAACGAGCTGTGACGTTTGCAACAACGACAGCAACAACAGCCTGACCACCACCCAAACGCCATTGCCCACAACACTCGCCACCAACCTAATGCACAGCCACAACCAAGCCGGACACGACACCCAAAGCAGGACAACATATTCGACACTCAAACCGGACCCAAGTCCGATTATGACGAGAAAAGCTGGGACACTGATGGGTCCAACCATGGCCAGTTCCCCCATTCGTAACTCGCCTTCAACGCATCGATAGGACCAAGGGACTTCGGCCCAAATGGCTGTGCCTCCGCTGGATCATTCCAGGGCCACTCAGGCGCACTGAGTGTCACCACCATCAAGTAACACGGGAACAACAGCCGCGACTTTCCAGGAACGGTAGAATATGCCTCCAGTCTGAAATTACATCGAGCGCGCGACACCAGAGGATACAACCCGGTAAGCCAATGCAGCGCCCCGACACAACGGGACGACTACAGCCAGAACATGACTATGGACTACAGGCTGGAACCACGCGACGACTCTGGAACAGCTCGAGAACGGAACCCGTTTCGTACAGGTGACAAGGACTACGACAGAGCTATATTGGCGGCCGCCACCGCAATGGAATTTGGGGACTTCTTGCCATGGTAACCAGCCCTAGATCCTGAACAACCTCCCACGCCCTGGGCAGCCGAATTTCTGGAAAAAGAACTGGCCAAATTTGAGGAACTAAGCGGAATCTCCCACATCGCCGAGCACACAATGCCTATGAGGGACGATACGTCCGTGAAGCAGCGATACTTCCCGAAGAACCCTGCCATGCAAAAGATCATCGATGCCCAGGTAAACGAGCTGTCACAGCGCATACGCTTTCGCGTATCGGATGAAATTATCGTCTTCGTAGCCACACTAGAGGAACACGTCAAGAACCTTCGAGAAGTTTTCAGGAGATTGCGGGAACCTCCGGCTGAACAAGAACAAGTGAAGCTTCTTTAGGAAAAGCCTGGTCTACCTGGGACACATCATCATCGAGCAGGGCATACAGGAAGGAAGCTGGCACCACCCAGCAACCTAAAAGAGCTACGACGTTGCATCGGGATGGCATTGTGGTATCGCAGCTTTGTCCCCAAAATCACTACGGTGGTCCAGCCGATGACGAGCCTTCTCAAAAATACCCAAAAGTGGACAGAGGAGCAACAGCAGACGTTCGTAACAATTAAGGAGAAATTGACTCAGGCTCCAGTTTTGGCGTGCCCTGACTTCACCCAGAGGTTCGTACTCCAAACAGACGCCAGTGCATACGGCCTGGGAGCCGTGCTGATACAGAAAATAGTCGAAGAGGATCGGGTCTTTTTGGAAGGCTACCATTTCGACGTGATCACGGACCACCTCGCGCTAAAATAGTTGAATCGATCAGCAACCCGATGGGTAGGATCGCTTGCTGGGCATTGGAGCTCAAACAATACATGTTTGACATACAATACTGTCGTCGAAGTCAGAACATCGTGGCCAACACACTCTCGCGACAGTGCTTGGAAACTTTGCAGCGCACGGAAGAGGAAAGGAACACCTGCCCCTGCAAACATTATACAAATAATGGAGCAGCCCGAAAAGCACCCCGAATTCATCGTGGACAAGCTGTACTGTAATAACCAACAGTACAATCAAGCGAGTTGGAACTATGCGTCGCAAAAGATCACCGCCGACGCGTGTTAGAGGAGTGCCACGACCACCCGACAGCGGGACACCTGGGAATTCGGAAGACGGCAACCCGAGTGACCCAGCGGTATTACTGGCCTGGACTCTATCGAGATGTAGCCCGAAAAGGCGTTCCGGGAACGAATCCTGAGTCGCTTCGGAGTCCCCAGAAGGTTCGTCTGCGACAACGGGACACAATTCACCAGTCTCTCCTTCCGGGATGTCTGTAAACTCGCCGGCATGGAATTGGAGCATACGGCCCCATACAAAACCATGATCGCCCAATACAACGACCAACGAACATGGGACGACCTCCTCCCAGAACTCAGCTTGGCCATCAACAGCAGCGTCTCCGACACCACTGGATTCAGCCCTGCGCTCATCGTACTTGACCGAGAGCCAAGATTACCCGGGGCTCCCTACGAGGAAACCACCCCAGGGTTGGGGGAAACCAGCGAAGCACCACACGAGAATGTCGACCGACTTAAGGACATATTCAACGTAGTAAGCCAGAACACTCAACAGGCCTTCCACGAGCAGAAGAAAGCATACAATCTCCGACGACGCGAGTCGTCCCACGATAGGATCCCTGGTTATATTGCGCCGACATCACCTGTCTAAGGCAGCAGACAACTTCGCCGCAAAGCTGGCACCCCAATATGAAGGGCTGTAAGGGCTGTATGTAAGGGCTCCTCACGCAGCAGGAGCTCTAGGGACTCCGTGGATGAAGGCCGTTCAGGCATTCCAGGCCTTGAAGGATGCGCGCAACCGCGAACGGGCCGAGGCGGGAAGCGATCAAGCAGCAGTGAGGCAGAGGGTTCGGAGGACGACAGCGAGGAAGACCCAGAAGCTCTGAGCAGCGAGTCTGAAGAACAAGAATCCGGAGTCAGGGAGGGCGACTCATCGTCCTCAGGCAAGCTACGAACCTCGGACGCCTTCCTACTCACCAACGGGAGGGCACTCGCCAGAAACTTTGAGCAGCGAGTCGGTCAGGCACGGCGTCCCCCGAGCACCGAGGAAATCGAACTCAAGAGGACTTTGCTGGACAACGGTTTTTATCTCATCACGCCCCCGAAATAAAAAGGGAGTGTGAACAAGTAGGCTACCGTAGTGATGTTGGGGACAAAGCTGCGATACCACAATGCCATCCCGATGCAACGTCGTAGCGGCAGAGCGGCAGAGCCAACGACGCAGGTGTCGTGTACGTGCTCAAAGCACAAAGCCGAAAAACACTCCCAAGCTAGCCCACAGCAGCCGAGAGAGGAGCAGCGCAGCCCGAGAGAAAATACAAGGGAGAATCGCCGATCGGCTCATCGTTCGGCAGCTAAGCTACAAAGTGGCGAGGGTCCGGGCAGAATTATCGGCAGAGGCTGGATCAAGCGGCTTGGCACGCGAAAAAAAAAGATGCGAGGCAGGAGTCACGAAATGGAGTCGAAAACGAGCGGTCGAGATCTACAGCAATGCCCGGACATATTGCCATCGCCGTGACAACAACCAAATGTACAACCCTCTTTCGTTTGCTTTGTTCCCGCAACCCTCCAAAAGGTGTTTTTTTTTTCATTTTTTTCATTTTTTAGGTTTGGTTAACGAATTTTAGCTCCAAAGTTGCTCCATAGATTTTACACAGGATATAATTTTTTTTCGACTTTTACTGAGTTTTTAAAGTCATTTTTGCATTTTAATGCTTTGTATTTCCTCGACGGTAAGTTAAGTGTAAGTGGCTGGGCTTAACTTCTATCTTCTACTTGAGTTATGTGAAAAAAAGAAATGCTACCTCTGAAAAAGGGTTTAAAAAAATTCCAGACTTCAACAATTCTTTAAAAAAAAGTTCTGCCATAGAAAAAAAACCATAATTTTTTAAAAAATTGTTAAGTCCCATATCTATCAGAAAAAGTCGGTTAGATCTTTGAGGAAACAAAAGTTAGATTTTGTCGAGTAGTGTTATTGCTTGCTAGATTGGCAGATTCGACCAAAGTGCCGGGCCGAAAACTAAACGTCCAAAAATATTTCGCAATGCTCCAGTATGCTCGTGACGCTTGTGATACAAACACAACATTTATATATATATATACAGATTTTAAAATTCTACATAAGTAATATGCTCACATATTTATATACTGACTGTGTACGGGTATAAAAGTAGAGTCGCGTCCACAGAAGCGATTCACAACTTTCCTTCTCGTTTTAAAATTGATTTTTAATGTTATTTCACATGATGGACATTTTGGGGGATATGCCCATATCATTATTCTGTTTCCATACGCCAATATATATTCTGTATATAAAACATAATTATAAACTTGTTGAAGTTGTCGACTCCACAAATGATATATATTTATGATTACCATCAATAGCCGAGTCGAGTCGTCCGTTTTTCCATCCGTCTGTCCTAGTTCTCAGAGCCTATAAGATGAGCCTATAAATCATAAAGAATTATGTCATGTCCTGTCTTCCAAGTTTAAAAATCTGATCGGATCATTATAATAAACGTCCAATAATGATTAAAACAATTTCTTTTGGCTGGGTCCCCTGCCACACTATCAAACGTCTCTCTCTTGTTCAGTGTGGCTCAGATGTAGTATGTAAATCGGATAGACGGAGTGCAGAAATATATTGAATAAGTCACATAAACCATAATATTGCATTTATATATAAAAACTGAGTAGCGGGTTGAAGAGTGATTTTTCACGTTAGGAACGGATTAATATTAATTTTTTAATTTATTTTTAGGCTTGCCATATATGCTAGAGAGAGCTGGGCTAGATGTACAACAAGGTGAGTGTGGGATGTGTCCAGCCTGAATCATTAAAGAGCAGTGCTTTGGGAATCAAGACCTTAAACCCGTATAAACGAAACTAGACGCTGTTAAATACTCGTATTGTATCAGTAATAGATGTTATTTATTATACCCGGTACTCGAAGAGCTTAGGGTTATATACGATTTGTGGTCGAAGTGGATGTGTGCACAGTAGGCTGGGCCGAAATTTGATTAAACATTTTTTATACCCGTACTCAAAAAAGAGTTAAGGAGTATATTAGATTTGTGGTAAAAGTGGATGTGTGTAACGCAGAGAAGGAAACGTTTCCGACCCCATAAAGTATATATATTCTTGATCAGCATCAATAGCCGAGTCGATAGAGCCATGTCTGTCTGTCCGTCTGTCCGTCTTGTTTGACGCCTGGATCTCAGAGACTATAAGAGCTAGGGCAACCAAATTTGGTTTCCAGACTTATGTGATATCACACTGCTACAAGTGTATTTCAAAATTTCGCCCCGCCCCCTTCCGCCCCCACAAAGGACGAAAATCTGTGGCAGCCACAATTTTAAAGATACGATAAAACTAAAAGCGCAGTATAGTAGAGAATGCCCATATCTACCAGACTGCCGAATCTGAATCAGATCGGATCATAATTATAGCCAGAATGACGAAATTAATTTTCAGTTGCTTCCCCTGCCCCCCCCCCCCCTTCCCCCACCCACCCACCACCCCACAAGAACACGAAAACGCAACTCATTTTCCTTCTCGCTCGCACACTCTGCCGCGTTCAACGCGAGCAACCCCTAGCGGAGGAGATGTAGAATCTAAATGGAACACGTAAAATCTACATGTTAGATGTAGAATAGACATTGTATATGTAGATGTAGATAGCAGATGTAGCAAAAAAATGTAAAATGTATAATTTTTTTTTTTCCAAAATTCTACAAAATCATAAGCTGTATATACTGACTGAGTACGGGTATAAGTAGAGTCGTGTCCCCAGAAATGACTCACACGTTCCTTCTCGTTTTTTTTTGTTAGTAAATAAAATTATAAAATTTTCTTCAAATCTTTAGTTTGATGTTTGGGGGTTGCTACCACGAAAAGAAAATACACTTTTTTGGTTAAATATACATAAAAAAAAATTTAATTCGTCGGTTTTTATACCCGACACCATAAAGTATATATATTCTTGATTAGCATCAATAACCGAGTCGATAGAGGCATGTCTGTCTGTCCTTCCGTCTGCCCGTCTTGATGAGCGCCTATTTCTCAGAGGCTATAAAAGCTAGAGCAACCAAATTTGTTGTGCAGATTCATGTGATATCACACTGCAACAAGTTTATTTCCAAATTTTGCACACCCTCGCAAAGGGGGCCCTGCGCCCTCTGTCGGATATCGAGCTAGAACGGGGTGTTCATGTAAGAAGAGAGAGAGACATATGTAGCGAAATTAAAAACATTAGCAAAAAAATTAAAACAGATAAAATACTATAAAATCTGACTGACTGAGGACCGGGTATAAAATTAAAGGCGGAACTTTAGATGCTCCTCACAACTTTCAACCTCGTTTTTGTTTTTATTAATCACACAATTAAACCTTACAAAAACAAATCAAGTTTCAATAATGACACTAAACAATTCTTCAACACACTTTGATTACAATTATATCCTATGTATTTATAATAACCAGTTTGATATATAGACAGCCAAATTTATTAATAAGACACCATTCAAATAGGCAAATACTTGCTTGCTATTTCATTTGAACTTTTAAAGGTAATGACAGAATTGTGGATGTTCCTTAAAAATTCTGCATGTCTTCCTGCTTAGTGCAGTTGAAAGGCTGAGCATGCTCGACCAAGTTTAGTTTGTATTGGACTGATTTTCAGTCACACAGTGATTTTGTACTTTGCACAAAGAAAAGTTCTTGCAAAGTACATTTAAAAGTTTTTATTTTTTCCATCCTCTTTTTATGCATATGGGTTGGAAAAGTCGTCCCCAACTCCATAGTCCAGGAGTATACCCGCAAACCACTTGACCTAGCTATATTGATGGGCAGTAGGTTGCGCCAACCAAATTTTTTTTCGAAATTCAAACGGGACACCCTCTAGTTTTGTTACCTTGAATTTAATAATAATTTACATTTTTCTATTTTTTGTTATACCCGTACTCAAAAAAGAGTTAAGGGGTATATTAGATTTGTGGTAAAAGATGATGTGTGTAACGCAGAGAAGGAAACGTTTCCGACCCCATATAGTATATATATTCTTGATCAGCATCAATAGCCGAGTCGATATAGCCATGTCTGTCTGTCCGTCTGTCTATCTGTCTGTCTGTCCGTCTTTTTGAGCGCCTAGATCTCAGAGACTAAAAAGCTAGGGCAACCAAATTTGGTTTCCAGACTCATGCGATATCACACTGCTACAAGTGTACTTCAAAATGTCGCCCCGCCCTCTTCCTCTTCCTACAAAGAACGAAAATCTGTGGCAGGCACAATTTTAAAGATACGATAAAACTGAAAACGCAGTATCGTAAAGAATGACCATATCTACCAGACTGTCGAATCTGAATCAGACCGGATCATAATTATAGCCAGAATGAAGAAATTAATTTTCAGTTGGTTCCCCCTCCTCCTGCATGCGACCCGCTACTCATCCTCTTTCTCGCTCGCACACTCTGCCTCGTTATGTACGCGAGCGCCCTCCAGCGGATGTGATGTAGAATCTAAATGGTACATGTGTAATCTACAGGTTAGATGTATAATATAAATTAGAGGTCTGCATGATTACATTCATTTCCTACAGGACAGTACTGTACAGTAGTGTGATGTACTCAAAAATACTATACTCATTTCATGCTGTACAGTATATGCATTTCCTACTTGGCAGTACTGTACAGTGGTATACTGTACTCGAAAATACTGCGCTCATTTCTTGCTGTATATTCTATATCCTAGAAAAAATGTTCAACACTAAAAGTGAAGTGAGTGAAAATGACAGTTGTACTCTCTTAGTTTTGTATCTTTCTAACACTTTGTGTGCAGTAGTAGTTTGCAAAACGTTGACATGCCTTGTAAAGAAAACGATGATGTTAATTCATTGCTTAATCTATTAAAGAACTGTGTTTGATCATATGTTTGTGGCTGTCCTTTTGTAAGTAAATGCTAATGTAGAGGCGAAAAATAGCAATCGAAAAGTAGTTTTTGTATGTATATAAATGCGAGTTTTCTTCACGTTGGTATTCAAGTATAATTGTGTTAACTCAGAATTCACATAACTACTTAACTAGTTAAATGATGACAAAAATTTTAAGCAATAAAATTTATATTTATTGTATATTGTTTTTCTTGCAAATGACATATCTGATTTTTTCTTTTACTTCCTGTTTTCACTCACTGTACAGTATGTATACTGTACACTAATTTTACTGTACTTATTAACTACTACTGTACAACTAAGGAGTGAGTGAGAACACTAACTGTCAATACAGGCACTGACAGCATTCACTCACACTCCTTTGACGCTGTACAGTCAAAAACGTGTACCCGTTTTCAGAATGAATGATTCATTTGCACATTTGGATACATTCATGCATATTTCTAATATACATAGTAGATGTAGATAACAGATTTAGCAAAAAAATATAAAATGTAAAATTATTTTTTTAATTATAAAATTCTAAAAAATCATAAGCCCAAAAGCCCACACGTTCCTTCTCGTTCCTTTACCCAAAAATTTGTATTTTCTTTTTGTGGTAACAATCCACAAAAATTAAACTAAAATTTTGAAAAAAAAATTGTATACTTTTATTGAATAACAAAGAAAAGTCCCCTTGAAAAAAGAAAAAAAAATTGGGTGGTCAAATTTTGGCCCAGCCTAATGGGCAGTAATCTGACGTGAGTTATGTTGCTTTGCAATCGTGATGAGATTAAAACTTCGAAGTCTCGTTTGAAATTATGTATACAATTTCGATCACAAAATATTTTTTTGGTGCAGATTTAATGTGCAAAGATGACCTTTCTCAAGGTGCATAGATCGCCACTGATCTAATTCTTCAAATATCTTCCCTACGCTTCTGCTCCATAAAAAAGAGTGAGCAAGGTCGGCACGCGTCAACCAAAAATATCTGGATGTCTGCCAAAGTAGAAATAGATAACGAGTGCGAAATACAGGCGCCATCCACAATTCACACTGTTAAGTACCTACACATGTAGCACCGGCCTGGCCGTTTTCTCACTCCGAGGCTCTCCTTAAAAGAACAATTTTTTAGTTCTGTAAATCGGCTTCGGCTTAGTTTACTTCCTCCATTAGTTCTATCATTTTTGAGTATTCCAATAATAATTTGTAACGGACATGGTATGTGCGTCGACAGGAGAGAAAACTATGAAAACATTTTTTGAATTTTCCTTTTTTCATTTTATTTTGAAGTCCAGATAAAAAATGTACACTGCTGTTGAGTTGAAGATAGCTTTAGACGTTCCGTATTCTTCAACCTATTCTGTTACCCTGTTGGACTTTTTTGTTTCGTTTCTTTGTTTCATCACCAGTATGAGAAGCTCATGTATGTAATTCCAGTGGCCCGTTTTTGTAAAATTCGCAAGGAATTATGCCCTCTTCAGTGCCTTTGTTAGCCCAATGTACTCTTATATCTTAAGCCAGCTTTGCCCAAGTTTCCGTAACGCATATATGTATAAAAGCAAACGACGTTGTCCTTTTTGTAAAAAAAAAAACACGAAAAAATCGACTGCCACCTTTATTTTTATAAAAGTAATGTTACAAAGTCTGTTGCACTATCATTGCACTGAAGTTCGATGTCTTCCTTTTGGTTATGATTTACAGCCCTACAGTTTCTAACCGTTTATATTTTCAATGTGAAAAATTAGTGTAGATTCGTTCAATAACACTGTCCGTATATTCATATAGTCGATTTATCATGAATATATTTATGTACAGAACCCATTATGACGCAAATGCCACTTCTGTAGTACTGTAGTAGTAACTTATTCGCGAATTTC